CTGTGGATGGAGTGGATATATTGTTCGAAGTTGGTCAAGCAACACACTGTCAGGTTTGGAAGGGTCCTGCTTAACTTCTGACAGTTGGCAGGGATAGAAATGGTGGCCGGAGAATGTCATCTGCGGTATGAATCAAAGACAAAGTTTTCAGTCCACCCAACATTTAGTAAGAGGAAACACTTGCTCATTTAATTTAGAAGCTGGACAAGTGGTTTACCAATTGAGAAGGAACCAGAAATGTGCTGGCAAGTTTGCGCTGAGCAGCTACAGAAGCAATTGCATTTTCAGACGCATTTGCATGAAGGTTGGCAAACAGATGAGAAGTTGAAGAGGGCCATTGATTGATCCTTGAATGATGCCTGAAGTATCAGAGAAGAGTGATCTGAGAAGCGGTTACATGACATCTCAAGATTTGTTAATCAGCAGGTCACAATGCAAAGCCAATGCTTTTCTAATACACTGCATTGACTTTGACCATTTTCTGAATGTTAAATCTCGACAAAACGTAGGGGATATTCCCTAAGGATGAATAATTTATAAACATGCAGCAAGTGAGCTGCTCTCAAAACTATGAAGGACTAAAGCCATTAGTGCAGGAACTGAAGAGCTGTTATTTTCTGTGTTCGATGAATCCCTGAATGAATCCTAATTTCGTCATGCTTCCAAGTTTATTTTTGTCACTTTATTATTACACTCTTTTGTATTTCTGCTACATTTGTTTCTCAAGATTTATCACCGCAGATGGCAGAGCAATATCCACCTCTGTAAAATCAAATCATGTGGTGTCATTCAGGTCATTGAGTCGTTTAGGCTGTCATCCCACTGCAATTTAAGTTAGAGAGAGAACCTGCTGAAAAGGAAATAGGATCTGCAGGAAAGTCTGCAACAGGATCTGCTAAAACTTTTCAAGGCCAATGACGAAATGTTATTGTAGAGGGGTGTAAGGTTCTGCAAAGGTTAAAGGTGAAGAGATCATGAAACAAACTCCCCCCCCCCCCCCCCCCGAACAATATGATGATGTCACTGGGCTTTAGGTAGGGAACAGCTTTGTACCTCAAAATAGTGAGACAACAAGGTCTCCCTCATAGTCAAAGTAACAATGGTGGTTTTACCAAAGTGACTTATACCTGGTTGCTATGGTGCAATAACCTACAGTTATTTTCTTTCAGACTGCAAAATAGTTCCCCTAAACCACACCATATCAAACAGGCAGGTAGTTTTCCTCTACCATACCAGACCAAGCAAACCCTGTAGATGCCACCAGAAAAGAGCATAATGGCAGAAAATCTGCCTGATATGTTCTTCACCAAGGTGAGCTCTGATGAGGATCTATCTTACAACAGATGTGACTACAAAAATCTGAGGAGAAATTGTTACAGGGATCCGAGGATAATACAAACAACACCAGGGAACGGAAAATGAAGGTAACCCTCTGAAAGAATCACAATATTAGCAGGTACTTCAGTAAGTCTAGATTTGAAGAATGATAGAAGCTAAGAGGGATGTAGTCAGAGAAAGCCACACATTTAGTACATTGCAGCACCTAAAACAATGGGATATATTATATATGGTTAGAGTCATATAGCACAGAAACAGACCCTTCAGTCCAACTCATCCTCGCCGCCCAGACATCCCAATCTGACCGAGTCCCATTTGCCAGCATCTGGCCAATATCACTCTAAACCCATCCTATTCATATACGCATTGAGTTGCCTTTTAAATGTTATCGTAGTACCCACCTCCACTACTTCCTCTGGCAGCTCGTTCCATAACACACCAACCTCTGTGTGAAAAGGTTACCTCTCAAGTCCTTTTTAAATCTTTCCCCTCTGACCTTAAAGGTACGCTGGCCAGTTTTGGACACCCCCACCCTGGGGAAAATACCTTAGCTATTCACCCTATCCATGCCCCTCATAATTTTATAAACTTCTACAAGATCACCCCTGAGCCTTCAACGCGCCAGAGACAATGGCACCAGCCTATGAAGCCTCTCCCTACAGCTCAAACCCTCCAGCCCTGGCAACATCTTTCTAAATCTTTTCTGCACCCTCTGAAGTTTAGCAATATCCTTCCTATAGAGGGGTGACCAGAACTGCACACAGTATTTTAAAAGTGGCTTCAACAATGTCCTGTACAGCCACAACATGACATCCCAACTCCTACATTCACTGTTCTGACCAATAAAGGCAAGTTTGTCAAACACCTTCTTCACAACCCTGTGTACCTGTGACTCCACTTTCAAGTAGCTATGCATGTGCACTTGTAAGTAGAACAAGAAGTTTTACTAACATGACAAAGCTACTGTTTCAGAGAATTGCTTGCAAGGGAGCATTTGGACACGGGGGGGCATGCACACCCTCTCCTAAAGGCAGTTTTTTTCATTTGTGGTTTTCAGTCATATTAGCTAGCTCTCAATAATTTGCTGATGTTTCAATTGATATAGTTGTGAGGTTAAGATGCTGACAGTAGTTAGTTAGTTAGGTCCAGATATTGCCAGCGTTTTAGGTCAACATTAGGTCTATAGCTATCAAGCTAAATGCAGAATTAGTAATTAGCACAGTGTTGGGAATCCTTGTTATCACAATAAGATTGATCCATTTTGAACTTTAGAACTGAAATAGAGAGAAAACAATTTAAGGAATTTACAGAGGCAGCCTTAGGAACAACAATTAAGAGTCAACCAGATCAGCATTCTTGAGTTATTTTATTCTTTTAACAGACATGAGATTAACTGCCAAGGCCATTTGTACAAATCCCTAATTGCCTTTGAGAAAGTGGCTGTGAGCTACCTTCTAGAAAAGCTGTAAGTCTGTGTACTATACAATACCGAAACAGTATCCAAGATGGTGGCAGCAGAGTAGTAGTGTTCGTGCGCCTGCTCAATCAGTTGTTTTTTTCCATCCATTTCTCTTTTTTCTTCTTTTCTTTCTACTTTTCTTTTCTCTGCGGTTCTCTCTTGCCTTTTGCCCTTGAGGAGCTTGGTTGCGACGGAACCAGCAGCAGCAGTGAGTGTGTGCCCAGCAGCAAGAAATGGTATCGCAGCATGGCAGCTTCGACATAGCTTCAAGGCAGAGGCAGTGTATTGGTGGCAGCTCTGATGTTAGTGCTGGTTCCAAGGGTACAGCAGTTGTGTTAGTTCAGGAAGCCTGTGGACTCTGCTGCTCTAATTGACTCCAAGATGGCGGCAGCATTGGTGAGGTGGGCCCAGCAGAAGTGATCGCGCCAGAACATGGGACATCAACATTGGTGGGTCTGGCACAGGTGGCGGTGAGGCGCAGGTCTCAAGGCAGTGGCAATGGCAGTGATGAAGTGTGGTGGCACTGCGGCATTTGTGGGTCCAGTGCAGGCATCATTGGTGAGCCTGGCTCTAGACTCATTGGCAGCGGTAGCTGTGAGGGTGATCTGGACATTTTCTTTTCCTTTTGTTTCTGTTTCTTTAATTTCAGCTCTTGTTTTTAATTCTAATTATTGTATTCTAAGATAGCACCAGAGAGTGGTGACTCTGAGCATTTTTCCTTGTACTCTTGTACTCAGATACATGTGATAATAAAATCTAATTAAACATAGGAAAGTAGTTCCAATTTTGATCTAGTGACTTTGGCTTTCTTGATGGAACCAGTAAGTATAGTCATAGAGCTGTTATCTCCATTAATGGTATAAAATATTGATGTTCGCTCCAGAAACAAAGGGTTGTTTTGAAGATAAAGGATAATTAGTTGAAATTTCTATTTTGGTCATTCCATGCCTGACATTGCGTCAGGGCTAGGTTTCAGGAACTATATATTTTTGGGCCTTATATGCTGCAGAAACAAAAGAGTTTGGAAGGCTGTGATATAGACAATGCGTATCTGCCAGTAGTCAGCACAAGGAGCATGGAGACCATTAGGAATCTGGGATGTTTGTAATCTGACAGGAAGTGATCTGAAAGCTCCTGGAAAGGTGGTGGAAGCTGAGTCTTTGACTATTTTAAGGCAAAAGTTTGTATACTTTCAGTCAGCGAAGGGGTGGACGGTTATTGGAATTAAATGAAGTGTAGAGTAATCCAATTAGCCATGATTTTCTTGAATGGCAGAGTGGATTAGACGGGGATGAGTCACCTATTCTGGTTCCTGACTCATGAGAGTTTTTGGCACATCTCGGTTTGGATTCTGTAGCAATGAAGAAACCCTCAGGATGCTGCAGTACATTGGGGAACTCTCGGGTGGAAACAAAATATTCTGTTGGAATATTTGGGCTTAAATAAAAGAGTTTTACAAAAAGTTAGTAGCAGTACTGACCGAACATGTGAATAGTCTGACAGAGTGAGAAATATATATAGTCATCTTACAAAATGTGCAACGTGCTTCAGTTTCTTCTCTAATAGCTAGTAGTCTGGATACTTTTCTTGGGTGAAGGGACAAAGTGTATTTATTATGTAAGCATTTCAGTCTACTGTCTTCCTTTAACAAAATTCCCATGCTCTGTAGCCTGGGCCACCACCAGAGTTTCATTGGAGTTTGTATTTTGTCAATAATCAATAATTAAACCAAATGAGACTCTTTTACCGGTACATGTACAGGACCAGAGAGATTGCTTGACAGATGCTTAACTACTTGCAGTGTGCACTGATAGCGTCACCATTATTCTTAGCAAAACATCTGAGCCAATGAATTTCTCTGAATTCACTGGGGGCAAAAGATTTAATTTTTTGAATTAAATTGACTCTAGGATTATCACTGATGGACCAAAGGTAAGGATGTACATTTGGATGAAACATAATAATACTAGACGTCTGGCTTAAAAGTAGTGTGGTTATTGAAATTCAGCCCAAAGTCCTCACATAATTAGCATTGGCAAAGTTTCTACTCAGTGACTCCACAAATCGAGAGATAGAATATAAAGCACATTATCCAGCACCAGGACATAAAAACCTCTGACTTATATTGCTTCCTGTGGTTCAAATAGAGATGTGTGTTTATGCATGATGTGTAAGGTTAACCATTTATTTTAAATCAATCTAGGTCCTTGCCATATGTCCGAAAGACATGCGAGCTGACATCTGTGTCCATCTGAACCGAAAGGTGTTTAATGAACATCCAGCATTTCGGCTTGCTAGTGATGGCTGCCTTCGAGCACTGGCTGTGGAGTTCCAAACAATACATTGCGCTCCAGGAGACCTAATCTATCACGCTGGAGAAAGTGTCGATGCCCTCTGCTTTGTAGTTTCTGGGTCACTGGAGGTTATTCAGGATGACGAAGTTGTCGCTATTCTAGGTACCATCATTTCTCTTCAGGTTCACCTTCAATATAAACTATGAAGGGAGATGCTCTTTCTGAAAATGTGTATAAACCATAGGTTTGCTGCCCACACAGTAATTACTAAACCAAAGCATGCTGCAAATATTACTGTATAATTTGTCAGGGACAGCTTTCTGGAAAAAAATATGCGTCACTTTTTCGGGCTTTTCTTACTCTTTAAATTAAGTAAGATCTGCCAGGGGTTTTTGCTCGATACGTTTGGGTAATCGGAATTGATTCCTATTTATATTGGATTGATTTCAATAAAACTCAAGACAGTTCATGTAATGCTCGTAAATCTAAAATTAATATGGAAGTCTACAGTTGTCTTCTTGGTTAAGAGAAGCCATATTTTTTCCTTTGTCACTATTTATGATGGTGTATGAATTATCTGTTCTAAATTGATTGTCCAGTTTTAGTTTAGTGACCCATATTTTCAAAGGTCATTCCACTGTTCTTCGTATTTGGTGCTCATTGTATTGACTCCTCACTCTTCATTTGATGATCAGTTTATTTTCATTTATCTCTCTGTATACACTGTTCTTCAGCCAAGAGAGTAACCAGGCATGTAACCTACTTTTACACTTGTAACAACCTTTTTCACGCTTGGAAAAAATTATAAATCAAAGTATAATGAAAATCCATAAAAGAACAATTATCACATGTCAAATCCATATCTACTGAACAAAAACTAAGATAAACAAGCCATTAAACCAGAGAGTTACTGTTATTGCAAATAGTGGTTATCAAGAGAACTAATTCAGTCTTCTAACTACCAGATACTAAATCCTGTTCACCTAAAGTAACATACACTTTTTTTTCTAGAGAACTATTTATTCACAATAAAAATCACTCACTTGAAATTCAAAATGTACAACATTTCAAACAACCATATGCCTGTGTGAGAAACCATCATCTCTGTCCAAGCTACGTTAGCAAACCAAAGATCTAATTATTGGAGTACTTAACAATTATGAAAAAGCAACTTATTGATGCCTGTGGCTTATGGATGATTTTCAGATTTCATTCCCAGGCAGATGTAGAAAAATTCCTTCCTCAACCTCCTGTGCCTACATTTGAATTTTTTTTCAAGCTTGTTTGGAGCACAGTTAAATCCAACCAGTATTTAATGGTGGTTGAGCTATATCACCTTAGTGAAACAACCGTGCAATTGTTTTATAAATTTAAGTTAAAATATTCCTTCAGTAGTTATGGTCAAGTAATGATTCTATGTCCATCCAGGCGTATGAAGAATTTCCATTACAATTTGAAAAATTCTGCACGATAAAATGAAAACAATGTAGATACATACTCAAAGTAAAGAAAAAGGTAATATGGAATTGATATCAAGTCAAATGGACTATACAGATTTATTGTATAGAAAAGCTTTTTGAGTGTAATTAGTTCCACAATATGCTGTGTATGTGTATACTATACATAGATAATATATATATTGTTTTTTATTTGGCATGTAGGGTAAAGATTTCTTTATTTATAAATTTCTTCATAAATAATGTAAACCATGTCAAAATTAATCAGTGTGGAATTTGTCAAATATATGAGATTGTTAATTATATTTAAAAGGATTTGAAAGAATTAGATGTTGTATGGGGGTTACTTCAGTTATGATAATACTTGAAATACATCAGAAATACCATTGCTGCTGCTTTTGAGCTTTTAGACTCAAACTATAGTGAAGTGTGGACTGTGTAGAGCCAGAAGTTACACAAAGCACAATGATTAGACGACCAGCATTCACCAATGTTTATGCATAGATTGAAGAACAGCTTCAGACAAGTTCAAATACATGGGAATGAGAAAATATTAATTATACATTTTCAGGAAAAGTCATTTATTTTGCATGGTTTAAACATGCAGTACTATCCTATTCATATTTAAGCCAATCAATATAATAGTCGTAAGTACTTACATATTAGAAAATATCTTTTGAGTTGAGTATTTTAGTCAAAATCAGCCGTATCAAACCGGAAGGCATGGTTGACAAGCACCCTGCTAAAAAAGTTAGATTTAGTGATGGCTGCCTCTCTGCTACTTAATGCTGAGAGTAGTTTTATTGTGAAGCTTTGATCTCTTATGCCATGGGTGGCATGGTGGCTCAGTGGTTAGCCCTGCTGCCTCACAGTGCCAGGCACCTGGGTTCGATTCCACCCTTGGGTGACTTGTGTGGAGTTTGTACATTCTCCCCGTGTCTGTATGGGTTTCCTATGAATGCTCTGGTTTTCTCCCACAGCCCAAAGAGATAGGGGGCATATTTTTAAGGTACAAGAAGAGGTTTAAAAAAGGCATGAAGGGCAAATTTTTTACACAGAGGGTTGATCATGTTGGAATGAAATTCCTGAGGAAGCGGTAGATACAGGCACAGTTACAACGTTTAAAAGACACTTAGATAAGTGCATGTGTAGGAAAGGTTTAGAGGGATATGGGCCAGGAGCAGACAGGTGGGACTAGTTTAGTCAGGAATTATGTTCAGACTGGAGGGCATGTTTCAATGCTGTATGACTCTATGACTCTGTGCAGGTTAAGTGGATTGGTCATGCTAAATTGCCCATAGTGTCTAGGACTGTGCAGGCTAGATGGATAAGCCATGGGAAATGCAGGGTTACAGGGATAAGGTAGGGGACGTGGATCTGGGTGAGATACTGTTTGGACGGTCAGTGTGGACTCGATGGGTTGAATGGCCTGCTTCCACACTGTAGGGATTCTATGATTCATCTTGCCTTACAGATTTTCCAGCCCATCTGATGGTCAGCGACTCTCGCAGAACTAGGCAAGAGCAGTGGCCACTGCCAGAACTACAGGCAGTTCCGATGCTACATTTTAGAAGCACCTTTGTTAACAGTTGTAGAACCACTTTCTTTGGTCCTAAAGTTCTGATCCAGATATCATTCGGGATACAGTAACTTAGATACTGTTCCACTAAATGTGGTAAACCTTTATTAAACTGCAAATCAATAGTTCATACAATGTGACACTAGTTATGGAGAAGTTCCACAAGCTACAGTATGTCTCAGATGGTCAATCTAACATATCTCCCAGTGCTTCTTCAGAGTGATTCCACAACTGGACTATCCACTTCAGAAGCAAGTCCTTTTCAAAGGCTTTCTTTATACCTTTTCCTTGATTTGACAATGTATCATATCAGCTTATGCCTCATTTTGGCTCTCAATTGGTTTTTCATTGCATCACTGTGCTGTCTGAAGGCTTCTTTTTTATCCATTTGTGGGACATTGGTGTCACTGGCTGGCCAGCATTTATTGCCCATTCCTGTACTTTCTGGGGCCCAATTTCAAGGCCATGCTTGAATCAACAGAGGCTGTCATCTGTGCCGTTATCTCTAACACTCACTGCCACACAAACAGTGAGGCCATTTTTTTTTCATGTCTTTAGCATAGTGTCAAAACAGATCAATTGGCAGACTTTATCAACCCTGTGTCTTGACCTGGTTTCCCATTCTGCCTTCCTGTTCAGAAATCCACAATGCAGGTCTTCAGTCAGGATACTAATTTCTCCTTTGGCGTTCCATTCCATCACCATTAGACAATCTCAGTATACAGAGCTATTCCACAGATAATTTACATTTGTTAATATGAAGGAAAGATAAGAACAGTTACCAGATTCAAAGTAATTAAATGATACAAGAGTAAATAATGTGTTGGCTTTCAGAGAGCATGAGCTCATGCCTTCAAATGCATTGGTGTAGGCGTGGAAAATCCAATCAATCAATGACAATGAGAAATTTAATTACAACTCAAATTCAGGTGCAAAGAAAGGCATATTCAATAGTGAAGTATACTAGTTGTATAACTGTCCTGCGATTAAATCAGATTTTTGAACATTTTGAACAGTTTTCCTTTGCACAACTACTATAATAATTGAACATTTAATGACAGTTCGGAATCTCAAACTAATTCTGATGTGCTTCACTAACATCTTGTCTATTGATTTAATAGCCGGTACATGCTTTATGCACCTTTCAAAAAACGCACATATAGAGTAATTCAAAGATAACAAGCTCCATGATTTCAGCAGTCATCACAAACAAAAAAGTAGTTATTAGGATGATTGATGCTTGACTTTGATTACAGTCTAACATAAAATAAATTCACACCAGGTTTCATCAATACACAAGAAAATAAAAGTATCATTAATTATAGCAAATCTATTCACTAACATGTGGCAACATAGAATTACCAATATGGAAACTTAAATGATACCCCCTTTACATCCAAACACAAAAGTATTCATTCCCTCATAGGAGAGATAAGACAGATGAGACAAACAATCTTGCCAGGAATATTATTGCTGGAAAATATGGGTACAATGTCTGAATCAGAGTCTAATCCAAAAGGAGTGGAACGAGGTAACTTTCTCACAGTTCTTTTTTAAAGGTTTTGGCGATGATGTCATGTTGTTGTTAATTATGGTGATCTGCAATTTGGTAGCCAGTCAGTTGGACCTAACTCTTGGCTTGAGTTAGAAGTTTTCTTCCTTCTGCAAATGTCTTTGAGTGTTACTGTTTTTATTCATAGAGAGAGGGAGAGAGATTTCACTTTCTGGCAGGCTTGAAGGTCAGAGTCCTAACTGCTTTTTCTCCTTTCAGTGCTGTGACAAGTTCCCACTTACAACCAATCCAATCCCTGTTGTTGAGCAGTAACATCTTTTTTCCAAAGTCACCTGCTGCCAGAACATAAGTATCTAACCCAGTTCCAACAAAATAACACCAAACAGTTCCATATTTTTTTCTTTGAGTTGTTGAAACAAAAAAGCTAAGAATTCAAACTTCCATTTTCTGGGGCTTATATTTCCAATTTTTTTTTAAAAATGTGCAAAATACAGGGCAGTGAATGCTACTGGGGTCCATTGAGGTGCGAGCCTTCCTTGAAGGACAAAGTGGCCATTAATAGGCCAATGAATAATTAATTAGTCACACACCTCTCTTCAACAGGCAGCTAAATAGCTGCCATTCTCACCTCTCAAGATATCCTATAGCGGTGGGTGGATTTTCGTCTTGATACCTTCTGCTACCTCTGCCCATCTGGTTCATTTGAATTGCTGAAAAGCAATAAAGTCTAGCCTCAATATTTTTGTCTAGGGATGTGAGTGTGTTGGGTAAGTATAGGTCTTGTCATCTTAGCATGAGCATTGCTCTGCCCACATTAGTCCAGCTTGATTGCTGATTGCTTTTGTTCAACTTCCAGGCAATTCTGTATGTTTATGTTTCAAAATTACTTGAAGAAAATGTTTAAAATCTATATTCAGGTCACTTGTTTTTAGTGTGACTTTTCAAACAGAGGTAAAGATAGTGCATGTGTGAGAGAACACAACAGAGAACATAACATTACACAATTGTCATAGTTTTTGTTTGTATTTTATAAACTTCACAATGCGTGTAGTAACGGGAGAGAATCCTTCCTCTTCTTAATTTGAAATATATTCCTAAAAATATTTTGAAAGTGGATATTTGTGACAGGTAGCATTGATGTTCTAATTATTAACAACAGTTAAAGTGATAAGACTGACAGAGAAGTAGGAATATAAAGTGACAGTCAGTATAAAATTCCTGAGTTAAAATTACATGTCAGGGGTGAGGTGGTGTTGAATTGTGAAGGGGTTGAGGGCAGGTGTGCAATAGAGATGACAGGATCTAGTTGTATTGTTGTCAATTATATTAAACGTTACAGAGAACAGAAAAGGTAGGAAGGCTTGTATATATCTTGCTGCATTTTTTCATTTTGAAAAATGGTGAAGGAATTTATATAAAACAAAGGCCATAACTGAAATGATAAACAGTGGCACAGATTGGTTCTCGCAACATCTATAAAATAAGTTCAGGAAACCAAACTAAAAATTAATTTACTCAAGCACTGTATGTCAAAAGCTCTAATTTTATCTACCACAAGTTGTGAACATCCATATTATGATAAAACAGAGAAGCGTCCAAGTCACCTTGGGGAATGTTATAGCAGATTTTCTAGGATTCAGAAATATATCCAAAGCCCTTCAAATTGATAGATGATAGTTGACACCATTCAGTCAATATAATACCTGGGAAGGTGGGGAATACCTTTTTTATAGCTTTAATTTCCTTCCCCTTGTATTTGATTCCGTTATGCACCATTTCCCAGCTCCAAGTAGGAAACTAATCTACACCCCCAGGCCAGTGGCATTTCTGATCAGGGAACTTGCAGTGATGTCTTTGCTTATTTCCCATGTAGGCTCACGTGCCTCAGCTTCATATTTCCCTGCCACTCTTCATCAAAAATAAGCAATTCATCGTATGAATTCACAATCACAATTTAACTTGTCACAGTGAATCTCAGGTTTTAAAAATAATTAAATTATGATTATTTTTCTCTAATTTATTTTAACTTTGCATATATTTTTCAGGGAAAGGGGACGTGTTTGGGGATATATTCTGGAAGGAAACCACGCTTGCCCATGCATGTGCCAATGTGAGGGCGTTGACTTATTGTGACTTGCATATAATCCATCGTGAAGCCTTGCTGAAGGTTCTAGAATTCTATACGCCATTTGCAAATTCTTTTTCACGAAACCTCATATTGACTTGCAATCTGAGGAAGAGGGTAAGTTATCTTCTTTCCATTTCATGTTCCATGGTTCACATTTAAATTTTGAGCTTCCAATATGTTCATCGTTTGTTTATTGACAAAATTCCGTCTTGAAAATAACTTTTACTACTTATTGCTTCACTGTAGGGTAATGCTCAAAGTTCAGACGATGGTTAATATTTGTGTGTTAGATATTGAATGTTGCTTATTGGTGAAAGGATATCTCAGACTGCAGAGAAATTGTTGGAAGATCAGCTGTTCACTCTCTAGCGTCAATGTCCTCACAAACTGAGGAGAAATTGCCCAAGTTGGCAGTGCAGGATTTTCCACTGATGCCCTCCAGCTTCTATTCTACCATAATGGCTGAGTGATATTATCACAAGACTATCCATCCAGAGATCCCAGTAATGATCTGACGACCTGGGTTTGAATTCCCGCTATGGCAGATGGTAGAATTTGGATTCAGTTAAAAATCTCTGGATTAACAGTCTAATGATGACCATGAAACAGCTGTTTATTGTCAAAAAACCCACCTGGTTCGCTAATGTCCTTTAGGGAAGAAATCTGCCATCCTTACCTGGTCATAGAGTCATACAGCATGGAAACAGACCCTACAGTCTATCCAAACAAGTTTCCTCAAATTAAACTAGTCCCATTTTCCTGCATTTGGCCCATATTCGTCTGCCTATCCAAATGTCTTTCAAATGTCGTAACTGAGCCTGCACCTATCACTCCTTCTGACAATTTATTCCACATACAAACCACCCTCTGTGTGAAAAGATTCCCCTCAGGTCCCTTTTAAATCTTTCTCCTCTTACGTTAAAAATATGCCTTCTAGTTTTGAACTCCCCTACCCTAGGGGAAAGACCTTTGTTATTCACCTTATCTATGCCCCTCATGATTTTATAAACCTTTATAAGGTCACCCCTCAATCTCCTACACTCCAGGGAAAAAGGCCCCAGCATATCCAGCCTCTCCTTGTAACTCATACCCTCCAGTCCTGGCAACATCCTGATAAATCTCTTCTGAACCCTCCAGTTTAATAATATCCTTCCTATAACAGGGTGACCAGATTGGTACACACTATTCCAAAAGTGGCCTCACCAACGTCCTGTAGAACCTCAACATGATGCCCCAAGTCCTACACTCAATGGTCTGAGCAATGAAGGCAAGCGTGTTAAGCCACCCTGTGTATCTCCAGACCCACAGCAATGTAGTTGATTCTAAACTGCCCTTTGGGCAATTAGGAATGGGCAATTAATGCTGGCCTGGCCAGCGATGCCATCATTCCATGAATGAATAAAAATAAATGCCAGAGTTTCAGGATGGTAACTACATTTGTGGGGTATCGCCAGTGAGAGACAGTGTTTCTCCCAACACTGTCCTTACCCCAACACCAGCGATAAGTATCTGCTCACTTCTCAGAGAGGTTTACAAATATTCCGAATAACCGGCAATTTTCGGAGCCCACCCTAGTCTAAGGGTGTAGACCGATATAATCATTTTTTAAACACCATCATTGTTGAAGGACCAGTAGACTACTCTGAACTCGATTCCCATAACAGAGTTGCTATGAAGCCGTTATCATTTCCTGTACCATGGAAATGCCTCCCAAGTTTCCAGTTGAGAGGAGAACTATCTCTTAGTACATCGATACTAAGGGATCGTTATGTTACGAAGCTAATGTTTAGTAATGATGCCATGCTTTGAAGGCTAAATCCTGACAAAAATCTGCTCCAGTCGTTAAATTTAAGGACAGATATTTTCTTTCAATTTTCTACAATTTTTACTCTTTCAAAGTATGTGAACAAATCCAGTATTTGTTGTCTTAAATCATTACATTCTGCAGGCTGCAGTAATACAGATAAAATAGCAAAAAATAATTGGAGTCTGAATATTCCCTTTAAATTGAAAGAACAGCTGGAATTTCATATGTGATCTGGGAGAATTATGTCAATGCTGGGGATGGTAACCAAAGGTTAATTTAGTTTCCCCTGTTTAGTCACAGTTATTGTTAAATGTCAGTATTTACACTATGAACTAGCCAATTATATTGCTGTGGTATGCTTCTACTTAAACATGTTAATGATCCATTTGTTTCTTGAAGAAGCTACTACTGATCTCAAACTAAAAATGAGGAAATTGAAACAATTGTTAATGTGGATGATAACAAGGTGTAGAGCTGGAGGAACACAGCAGGCCAAGCAGCATCAGAGGAGCAGGAAAGCTGATGTTTCGGGCCTAGAGCTGATATTGAGATGTCATATCAACAGGATAGGTCCTGTCAAATTCCTGCTTTCTTCCAATCATGCACAGAAAGGGTTCTGTGTGAAAAGTGATAATTAAATTTTTTTTCCATATTCAATGCACATCTTTTTAATGCTGTTTTGATTGTGTGGAATTGTTGTCTTATTTGTTATGTCATTCTTAAAATTATACCCTCTCAGAATCGTTTGGATGTCATCTGACCAGTCTTATTCTTGCTCTTTCTCTTGCTCTGCCACCTGACCTCGTTAAAGGCAAGCCATGTCCATAGTGTAGGGTTTCCAGAACAGTTGCAGTCATAACAAAATCTTAAAAATATTGCAGTGCATAAAAAATATTGCAGTGCAAAGGATATGCAAGAAATTAATTGACAGTCTGTTGGTCATACAGAACTTGAGCATAGTTATAAAAAGACACACTCTATTGCAGCTTTCCGGCTTGAACTTATCAGGGCAATTCGCAAGGATACCACTTCAAGGGGAAACCCAGCATATGAATTCTGCAAGAGAGGAGAGTGTTGTTTAGTTGGTAGGTGGATTTTGGTTGCCATGAGAATGCGTAATACCTCAACCAATCACAGTCCACTTCTCAACCAATCAATATTCACCTTTCTTGTATATAAATGTTGGTTTTCCCCTTGAATTGATACTCTTACCAATTGTCATGAAAATTGCAAGATGACAAGCTTTCACAGAATGCATCTCTTTTGCAGCAATACTCAATTAAACTGAGTCAAGTGTGTGTCCAAAGTTCTAATAATTGTGAATTATATTCCTGAATTAACAAAAAGATTTTTAAAGGCATTCTTTTCCATGAGAAAATATGTTCACTTAATCTGGAAACAGAGCAATGTGCAATTTTATCACCTGTGGCGCATAAGCTTTTCACACCTGCGTTTGAAACAAATGACTTTTGGTTCAGTTTTGAGTCAAGAGCCATCAAGTTTTGCCATTACAATCAGAGAGAATGATTGTGCTCAGAGTTGATTAGGCAGAAGAATTCTTTTTAATACCTTTAAAAGCTTTGTGTAACAAATTTAATTATTTTTTGTCCTCTGAGGAACAGAGTCCTCTGTACATTTTGACACATTCCTGTGGTGCAGAGTGAAGCACAGCTAATGTGGTAGTTAGCTCTGCAAAATAGCACTCTCCATCCAGTCTGCCAACATGCTGAATCCAGACAAAGAGCTTTTTGTCGACTGAAACACAATACAGGTGTATAAGCACTCACAATGAATATCCCCCTCACTCCTGATTGGAACTAAAACTGAGCCACTGGCTCAGATAGGTCATGTTCTGTGAGAGGACAGCCAAATCAATCATTAAGATGTGGAACATTCACTAGATTCATAGCTAAATGATCAATACCTACAATTTTAACTTGTCTGTTATCTACGTAGATTCTGACTAATTTGCTGAGTATTACCAGCACTTTCTGTTTTTTTGTTTATTTGCAATTTCCAAAGGTTTCTGCTATTTGTTTATCTTTTGGACTTGGAGTACCTCCACTTAGGGGCTACCATGACAAAAGGAGCTATGATGCATTGCTGTCCAACTACATGCAATGAACTCCTCCACGTGTCCTCATAGTATGAACATAGCAAAGTTGTTTGGCCATTCCTATGATGTGACTGCAGGAAACTGGTGTCCTGACAGCTTCCTGCTTTTAAAATCAAGCCTTCGACCCTTGTCTGCTGAGAATGATGAGCTGGTTGGTCATTGGTGAATGGGTCCTGCTGCTCATTCATGTTTAACATATCACCCAGTGTATCCTGTGCTAGAGTTCTAATTGTCTTGGTTTCCAGATGTTTGAAATAATCACATTTAAGTTTGGAAAGATGAGAGGCCTTTTTATTTAATACTTGACATGCTGCTTTATACGAAAGAACAGGATTATGCTGTTCCTATTACTCATCATGTAATTCTTTAGTGCTGTTTTCAGTGTGATTCTCTCAAATACACAGTGCAACTCATTCCTCACTAATTATTTCCTACCTCAGTACTGATAATACCATTTATAACATCCCATCATTTTTAAAAAGGTAATGCCTAGTCAATCAACTCCAGTCGTTAATTTTATTAAATGCAGAGTTGTATGAGGAAGATCCAGTTGACATGGTCCGTTGCAGAACCAACGACTTTGTAAGAGATAGTAGGAACTGCAGATACTGGAGAATCTGAGATAACAAGGTATAGAGCTGGATGAACACAGCAGGCCAAGCAGCATCAGAGGAGCAGGAAAGCTGACATTTCGGGCCTAGACTTTGTAAGAGCCAGATCTGATGTCCTCTGAGTAGAATTTCAGGACTTAGGTTGCAAATTAAATTGTAGAACATTAACATAATCTACTCTGGCCTGTTACCTGACTCATACGCAATTGGCAGAGAGTTAATCATTTTAGAGAATTGAATTTATATTTAAAAGTGTGGTGTGGGAAGAATGGGTTTCAATTCAAGGGACACTGGCATCAACGCTCAGGGAAGCGTCCATTGCAGTGGGTTCCTCTTGAACTTGCTGAGACCACTATCCTGGCCAGTCATATATCTAAGGCTATGGACAGCAATTTAAACTAATAGAGGATGCTTAAGGTGAAGGGAGAATTCAAAATCCAAAGGGAAAGCTCAAAGCGTCATAACATGTGGTGTGATGTGAGTAAAGGTAAGCAAAGTGAGACCGGAAAGGACAAAGAGTTGAACAAAAAATGTACATCAATGTATAAGGTCGTTACAGGAAAGAGAATTAAAAAGAAAAGTAACTAACTTCTTTACTTAAATTCAAGAAGGATTTGCAATACATTAAAACAGTGACAAAAAGAAAGGTGATAATTTAAATCCAATCATGATTACAGAGACTTGGTTACAAAGTGATCAAGTGTGGGAAATAAGCATTTCAAGGTAAACAGTATTGTGGAGT